TATATGTATATAGCCCGCTGTGTGGGTTGTGACACGTAACTTCTATTGAGACTTCGTTTCACTTTGAGGTAGACCTCGGTCATGCCGATCGCAAAGACCGTATCCGAAATGGAAATGCTTCGATGTTGCTCCTCCCAACACTGGCACACCACGACCGCGGTTTCGTCCTGGTTTGCAATCATCAGCTAGAGATAGCCTGAGCTGGGGTGGAACTCAGAGCCCTTTCCGCTGTGCCATGCGTTGCTTGCGGATCTCAGTAGCATAGTGTTCATGGCGTCAGCCATGAACTGCTAGGCTCCGAGTTCCACCCCAGCTCAGGCTATCTCCAGCTAATGAGTCCACATCATGACGAAACCGCGGTCGAGTTGTGCTGTGTTGGGAGATGCAACACCGAAACATTTCCATTTCGGATAAGGTCCTTGCGATCGGAACGACCGAGGTCTAGCTCAAACTGAATCGGCTAAACACATGTGGTAGCTTTAACACGGTAGCACGTGTTGTGATACGATCCATGGTAAGGACTTCCGGCCATTTGCTATAGGCATAAGCCAGGTGCAGGAAATGTTGCCCATCGGTTGGTCCTGCGAAATCAACAAGAGTTCTTGACTAAGTGAAGTATTGTACTGGCCATGAACACAAATCAGTTTTGCGAGGGGATTTTGCAGACAGTTAAAATTTCGAACAGGTTTGCACAAGTTCTTCGGGCAGAACACGTAATAACGTACTAAGGCATCCATGTAATTTATTCCCGGGTGCGCAAAGTGAAACTGCCTCAGAACAAAACTCGGCAAAGCGGAAACACATACCGATGTCGGCCAAACAATATTGATGTTGGTAGAACGGCAGTCGCTGAGAGGGAGTATGAAGGCAAATAACTTCCTATAGCAATGGATGACCAGCAGTTGACCGAAGGATCGTAGCAGAAGGTACCAAACAAGCGTTTACTTCTGCCTCTACGGATAATGACGCGGCAACGGCATCTTCCGGCCGTTGGTGGTGAGAATCCATTAGACGTGACAAAGATTCTGACCAGGCAATATCTTCAATTTATTGATATTTTATGGAAGTCATAACTCAGAAGAACAGTGGGCCGTCCTCGAAGCCGATTAGCGGTGTTAATTGGGATACCTTTCTTGCATCCGTAAGTAGCGAGAAGGGGTTGTAAACCGTTATGAGGGTAAGATGTCCACAAACTATTTTATGAAACTTTCCTTGTAAGGACAATGGCCACAGCTTATTTTTCAATCTGATCATAATTAGGTTCAATAACAATTATCCATCCAGCTGCAAGGGCAATTGTTCTCCCTGATCCGTCTGTGAAGATGTGAAAGTTGACGACTCCGATACCATAAATGGAAGCGTCTGAAACGAGGACTGTATCCAAGACGGGGTTGCGATGTGCGAGGAACAAATCGGAACTCCGTGGTTATTTAAATTTTCAAATGCAAAATGGCATTCTTTTGACCAATTTCAAAGCATATGAATTTTTAAAACATGGTTAAGTCTTGGAAATGGTGCATATCCGGTAACAAAGCGCTGCACTGGCTTACCAATCCGATAAAGGGCGTAGGGTTGCTAGGTATGTCGATGGGGACATTTTAAATGGTAGGGATATTTTCAGGATCAGCTTGACAACCGCATTGTAGAAAATAAATGCGCAATCTTTTGTGGAGTTTAGAAAGGAAACATTTTTATGCGAGAACGAAAAATGTACTATTAAAACCTAATTGAGTACACAATCTAGGCGACTTGACAGTACTTCTTTGATGTAGCCAGTGAAGTTGACGTCATCAAAACAGCTACTCTTAATAATATGGTTAATGTGGAATTCAGTGCTTGTTGGAATGTGGCTGGAATCGATTTTACACCAAATGGCAAACGGTAATGCTGGAATAGTTTCCGGCGTGTGTTAATGTTAAGGACTTCTTTGCAATCCTTCATATTTTCTATTTAAAGGTATGCACTGGCAAGACACAGCTTTGTGAAACAGGTGCCACTGTCGAGTTTCGTGAACAAATCAGCATAACTATGCAGTTTGCTGTTTGCCTTTTTAAGCATAAGAATAGCGGGCTCCCAGGATAAATAACTGACAGGATAAACAACCCCGGATTGTTGAGAGTGATCCACTTCTTTATTTACAATCGGTAGAGCGGTATGTGGAACTGCACGTTCTGGTCTAAAAACCATTGTACCATCTAGTTTCAGTCGGAGACTAATCTTGATTTTGTTGCAACAACCGAGACCATCATAACAGGTTCATTGGTTCCATAGACAGTTGAAGCAGCAAAAGCCAAAGCGTTTTCTGATTTTGTTCCGCACACGTTGGCCGCACATTGTCGTGACACAGCGAGAAGAAATCGTTGTTTCATTCAGGTTGTTTCGAACGCCTTCTTACTGCGGCTGCCTACGTAGGTTTTCGACCCCCTTGCTATGGTGGCTGTCCAGCCAGTTAGCAAAAATATACATTAAACCACCTTTACGACCAGAAACAGCTCAAAACATACATCATTTTCTGAATCTGGAAAGACAATCGGCGCACATAGTCGTCGAATTAAAGGTTACCTTTTGTTGCGTTACAGTATCCTAAAAGAACCACCAGCAACTATTCGGCTTTTTTTCTAAAATCTCCGTACTGCGACTACCTGGTAAAGGAGAACCCATTCCCTTATTTCACTACCATGGCTGTTCTGCCTCTGTGGTTACCTGAGCCTTTTTCAGAGATCCTCATGACTTTCCTTTTCTGTGCCATACAGAGTGGAGGTTATGATGAGTGCTATAATAAGAAACACAGATTGTAGCAGCCTTCTGCCTCTGCGAGTGTGTGCCTTCGCAATCATTCACTCGCTGTTGAATTCGCTAGGTCAGCGTTCGTGAGAGATCTCGGTGTACTCTCACGCTGTAACCTAAAGTCCACGAACAACAAGAATGGGTTCCACCAAAACGGACTTCGTATACTTTGAGCGCTCAAACGCAGCTTTAGACTTGTTCCAAAGACATTGTTACTGACCTCTTTGTCGCAGTCATACCACTATTGCTAAAGTATGGCTCACCGGCGTACTGTCCTATCACCCTGGGCGAGATGGGAAGGATTGAGCAGGTACAGCATGTGGACATCAGGCTCATCCGCACCTTACGAAGTGTGCCGTAGGATGACCGGTGCAAGGGACTAACACTTTACACCCTGTCTTATCATCGACTGCAGGTTGACCTAAATATGACGCACCGGACACTACATCTTGTTGATTACTCTATGTTGAGGCCGTTGCTCCATATACGCACACCAAGCAGCACACGAGAACACAGGTACAAGCTTGTAGTACCGCATTTGAAGCGGGGTGGTACAATGAAACAATGGTTTTATACGAGTAAAAAGGCGGATGCTTAATAGGTCCCGTAGGATGGTTATGGGGAAACTACAAAAAATTAAAACAAATTGTTAGCAAAATTGGGTTTACACCAGTGAACTCACTGAAGTATACTTAATATAGACTGTAAACCCAAGGTAAATCCATAAGAAATTACGGCAAATAGGATGCTGGTAAAAATCTTGTCTCCTTCTGGTGTACCCATAGAGGAGGTGAATAATCTAGAACGAAATCTGTGCTGTGACCGCCAGGGAAATCGCTTATAGACACTTGTGTTTATCTATGCTTACTCGGTAATGTAAGATGGTGCAGCGAAGTGAGTGCACGGTTAACTCGGGCTTTGAACTCTGCCAGCTTGGGATCACACATGACATAGAAAAGATATGGAGCAACCTGCAGTCGCATGTAGTCGAAGCAAAGTCACTGTCGGAATTCAATAAATTTCTGGACAAACACTTTGCCGATATGAAATATCGCGAATGCTCTCCAGCATACCAGGTCTTTGTACTTGAAGGATTTTAGATGCGGCGATATCCTTCCTTGTTGCCCCTATCCTAGGCTAACAAACCACATTCGAATTATCAATGAATCATTACATAAGGAGAGGAGCTGCTCAATTATTCTAGCACCCGGATTACCTCTAATGTCTCCTGCACTCCATGATAAGACCATCGCAACCTTCGAATGCATTGCGCACTCATAGAGAGGACGGTTCATCGATCAGTTGTGCACTGCGCTGCACTGCAACAGGTACTACCGCGACGGCACATGTATGCTGTAGCCATTGCGCAGTGAATTCAGGAGAAACGGTAGGTGTTGTGCACTGGTAACGAGTCATTAGGTGAAATTGTACACACAAGGTGACGGTGAACGTCAAACTAAGGGCTCATCAAAGCAGATTTCGTTCCGCCAATGGACCCGTGTTGATAATTTTAATCTCATCCCAATCCTACCAAACACCTGCTCCTGCGTGGGTTATTTGATAGTGTTGCTCTTGTGTGGATGAAGCCACAGGATGAACCGGAAAAGTGTAGAGGGGCTCACCGAAAGATAATTGGGTTGGTGCATGTGATCCTCCAGTGTTAGGAACACCGAGTCAGCCTTGTCAGCTGTTAACGTCTGCTGTAACCACTGCAGGTCCAAGTCTAGCCTCATTTCACATGCTGCTACAGCCGGCAGAGTCACGCGCGCTGCACAAGTTTGTGGATGAGGGGCTGATGATTCCAAAACGCAGGAGGTACACTAAAGCAGATGGCAACCGCAAAGTAATCTATCCACAATGGTCTACCGTGGTTAAATTATTTCATAATGATCGGTGTTTAGCCTAATTGGGACCACTTCGGGAAGTGAAATAATATATTAGACCTTTGCCCAACTCATAGAAGGTAATGCAAATAGTAGCGTTTTGAGCATTATTAATTCATATTCCCTTGTCAACGGCCATTAATGTGGAGGAACGCATTTAGGTTGCAGGAGCCCTTGGCGAATTGGAAACGGTGCTAATGGGTATAAGAACATCAAGAGACCGGATAACACAGTATATATATATATATATATATATATATATATATATATATATATATATATATATATATATATATATATACTGTGTTATACATATATCATTACGCTTACCGGTGCTTTCTTGCATAGCTCTTCAGCAGGCAGGCCAAGAGTCCAGAAAAACAGCCTAAAAGCTAAGGAAGCACAATAAATGAAATTAGCACTCACCATAAAGATGACAATACCACTCAACATGTTAAAAATTATGCCATGGAAACTCCACAACCCAGTTGCCCTGCGATTAGCCGAAGACTGATAAGGAACGCAATCAACGGTTTGGTTTCCGCGAAAGAGGCGCATGGGTCACTCAAAGCCGTTTGCAAATTTATTGTGAGATGTTCTCAAGTGCTTGCGCTCACACTTTTTCAGTGCTAAAACAAGAAAGAAGTACATACAAATGCCTAACAGAATGCAAAAATGTACATTATATTTTTATGTCCTGGTTACCTTCTCAATAGCTGACTTTGTTGAATAACATGAAAATTGTATTCCCGTAGTATCAAGAAACCGTGCCCACAGAGGGATGGGTCTTATTTACATGAGCTGGTTAATGCATTTGGGAGGTGTTGACGGTTGGCGTTCATGCAGGGTTGCAATAGCGACGTTTTGCTGATAACGTTCCTTTGGGTCTTGCACTGTCACTTTCTACTCGCGCAGCGATAGCCTCATGTGTTTCCTCAAGGGGACAGAGATGACGGCGGGGTTTTGCAAGTGGAAATCTTTGGAAAAGTCAACCAAAACCAGACAAGTAACACACAACCGTGGTTGAAGTCTGACATAAAAGCGTAAAGTAGTACGCAGCAATTTATCGGTGTCGCAAACACTACTCTTTGGAACAACGGTTCTATACGGATAAAAAAAGCTATAGCTTAACAGGTCCTGCAGAATGATCATGGTGAAAATGCAAAGAAAAATTGTCAGCATATTTAGGTTCACACTGGTGGACGCACTGCGGTATTTGTTAGTGTAAATCCACTATAATTAATGTTCGATAACACATGTGTATTTGTTTAACTATGTATATCTATCTGTTTACACCGAGTACGTGAGGGCTGGAGAACGCAATGTTTGCCTGCGTCCTGTTGTCATCAAGTGAACAGAAATCAGATCAGGTAATGCAGGTGTTGAAATGCATAGTAGAGTCGTTTTTTACAAACAGGTAACTTGGGTGTATAAATGACAGATGTCGAAAGAGTGTTCCAGGGGGTGGCAATTTCGGAGAGGAAAATAGTTCCGGAAGCATTCCAGCAGACTGAATTGCGTAGCCAGTTTCAGTTGATGACCCCTCGATGTTGTGTTGCGGCTTAGCTTCCGGAGGTGGCGGCAAGCGTGTTCGGGGAGGGGGGGGGTTCAACATCTGGGACGCCAGAATGAGGTCACCCCGTAGACGACGTTAACTTCCGCTGTACACTCCTAAAGTTTTAGTCGCAGATGTTATTGCAGCTGGAGCATTCCCTTCACATTGTTGGTTTCCGTTAACTGTGCGGTATCCAGTGCAACTAGGTCACGTTTTAACCAGAGTTGCCAGGTGTGAAACACGTACTCCACATGCGGCCTCACATACGCATTAAGCATTTGGGGGAAGATTGAGGGGTCGAATCGCCCGAACGCCCTCCGTAAGAGTAATGCGTGGGTTAGTGGTTTTGGACGCCTTCAAAGACTGTGCCGAACAGCTGAGGTCATCTTGCATCACCGTCCCACGATTACGACCACGCTCCCGTGAGGCAGTTTTCAGCATGTGGTCTCAAGGCTTAAATGCGTAAGTGGGCTTGTGCCGTACATGCACAGCTTGCGCTTGTCCGCGTTAAACGGAATAAGATTTGCTTGTGACCATTCGAAGACAAGGTCTAAGTCTCTCTGCAGTACATCATGATCGTCCTGACAACAGATAGCCCCGCCATATCATGATGTCATAGGCAAAAAGCAGGAACTTCAACCCAATGACCTGCGCCAAGTCGTTAATGAAGGCCAGGAATAGGCGCGGCCCTAACAGCGATCGCTGTGGAACACCGCAGTCCATGTCAATAGGATCAGAACATGAACCTCTAACCGGAACAGGAAGCCGCCGCTGAAGCAGGAAATTTCCGATCCATCCAAGGATCAGGCTTTCAATTCCGTAGGTATGCAGCTTTTGGAGAACGATTCGGTGATCTAAGCGGTAGAAAACTTTAGAAAAGTCGAGGTAGATGACATCAATGCCAGTCCCACTGTCGTCTATCTCGGTCCTACTGCCACGCACGCTCAGCAGATTGGTGGTACATGACCGATACAGACGGAATCTTTGTTGTTCCTGTGCTAGGACGTCACACCTTTCAAAGTAGCCCATTAAAGTCTCAGAGATGGTTGACTCCATCCACTTTGAAAGCACCGGGAGGAGCATCGCTGGACGATAAGTAACGGGGTCCGAACGACTATTTCCCTAGAAAATTAGAGTGATGATACCCTCTTTCCACACGTTAGAGACCAGCTCCTCATTCAGGCATCTTTGGAAAAATGGAGCTAATGTCTCAGTTATCCTTGTAGCTGTCACTTGAAGCGCTTTTGGGGAATGTTGTCAACACCGGGGGAACTACGGGTGCGCAACGATATAAGCTTCCTCAAACCGGTCCCTGAACTTAAAGTGACGTAGATGAATACTGGCCTCTGAGTAGTGGGACAGGTATGTGACATATGCTGGTGGCGCATCGTAATATTGAAGCATATTGCAGCTGTAGAATCTTGACTGCATCCTCGGCAGTTTGAGCACATCCATTTGCTGAGGTAAGTGGGGGAACACCACGCTTCACATTCCGGAGGCTGTTCACATGTTTGTACAGACGCTTGTTGCTAGCACAAAACCTTTCTTCTAGGCCCTGCCGGTAGACTAACTTGTCCACATGGACAAGTGTGATTCAGTAATTATGATGCACTACATAATAGCTCAAGTTGTCAGGGTTAGGGTTTGCCCTATACACATGCCACGCTGCGTGTCTGAACGTTATGAGTTTTCGGGTTCTGCTCCTAACCATTGATGGTGCCCTTGTAGTACGAATGGGTCTGTTTACAGATGCAGATTTCATCAAATCGCTGACCTTGCCAGCAAACTCCGACCATGCAGTAGTAATCGAACAATTGGCCGAAACATCCCAATTGACATCACCAACAAGTCCTCTGGGTGTGCCGAAGTGTGTGCTTGTTTGAAGCAAGTCACTAAGTTCTTGTGGATATTGCGCATAACACATCATCGTCATCATTATACACGTTAGCTACTGTGCCGCATAACACACATAGTCGTAAAGTATTATTACGTTATGATTTCGCCCCAGAGGGATCTCCATCTTTCGTTCCTCGACCATGAGCTCTTCGTGAGCACTAGATAAAGCACAGATGGCTTATTTCCCGTTCTGAAGCTGGTGGATGAATTGACATGACTCAAGAGCGGAATGTTTGCAGCAAGCTGTCGCAGGTATGCCTTGAATTGTTCGTTGGGAGAAGCCGGAACTTCCAAATCATGAACATTGAAGTCACCAGAGATGAGAATATGGCTGTATTGTTGTGGAAATACCCTCCCAACTACGAGTGTCAGGCAGGAGTCCATTTCTGGGGTGGACATTGGGGGACGCTAAACAACTGTCAAAAGGCAGGTGTCGCTGGGCCTTAGTCGCAGACTGCACCAGAACAAGTCTCTGAGTAGCATTTCCAGATCGTCCATCGGTTCGCACTGCAGGTCAGTACGACAGTATAAAATTACCCCACCGCCCTTACATGGGCGATCGTTTCGAATGAGGGACATGCCATGTATCGCGACTCCGTCGTTGGTGATTTATGTATGCAACCAACTTTCCTTTACTAATATGAGGTCCCAGGCTTATGATGCATGAGGCAGCCGCATTTCGGCAAGCTTGCTCAGTAAACCTTGTACATTGGTGTACATGCAGGAAAGGTTCTCTGTTCTTAGCAGGAGTCGCGGGATGTGTGTTTTGGGTATGATGTTGTGCCGACCGGTGAAAGGTCGGCAATTAATCGATGTTTGGGTGGGGCGATGACGAACTTATCTGTGTCAGATGCAGAGATCCCGCCATTACTTCTATGCTTCTCTCCTTATGTATAGTACATGGGGTGTTTGCCAGTTGGCTAGCTAACTGAAATTATCAAACTGTTATCTGGAGATGGTCCGACTAAATGGCTACTTTCGAATGTTTGCTTAGGGGAGCCTGCTTTGACCCGGAGCTCGGAAGGAAGGCTGCTACGGTCGGCATGGCAGCTCTCTAACATCCTAGTTGACATATGCCCGGACTGAAGTCCCACTTTCCAAATTCTCCTGCCATTACCTTTGTAATGTGGCGACCTGCGAAGACTCGAGATAGATTGCTTTATGACATTTTCCATAGATAGAGTCGCTTTAATTTATCGTCACTGCTCTTGGTCGTGGGTGGTCGCTTCGCGCATTTGCTGACTTTGTACTGGCTTGCAGCCTCATAAAACAAATTTAGTAAATGAAAAAATGTGATGTGTGCTGATTGCTATACTGACTACTCGAAGTGAACAATCAAACTGAATTTGAAATATGACATAAAACAATTGTCACAGCTGGCTGACCATACAGTTAGTGTGCAAGCATAAGGAGCCACAAATACAGTCAGCCCACTGTATTGCCTACCGGGTTTATAGCCCGCCTCGTTTTACTGCCCAGTTTTTCAAAATACAAATTCTTTTCTCATAAATAGGCCAAATGTTCACCGTCTAATTGCCCAATACCGGGGTCGTCCCACCGCGTAATTGCTCAGCTGCGTGAGCTGTGTTCTTGTTGCTTTGTCAATTTTATGTCCTCTCTTTGACTCTATAAAGATTGCCCCACAGTTAGCCAGTCCGATCGAGTCAAGAATAACAAAGATGTCGGCTGGGTTATTGACAGATCAGGAAAGGTTACCTACGTCATTCCATACACGAGGATGCTAAATGCACAGACGACTGTGGGCAAACCGTCGGCCCTATTCAAAACTCGAGAACTGAGCAAAGTCGGGTACACTTTCCGCTCCACATCTGTCACTACTCTGTTGGTTACACACAAGTACGCCAAGTAACAGAAACGGTTTGACCTTGACAGAAAAGGCGGACCTTTTGGACAAATTAAAACACATGCACCATGAACTGCACAGGTTAAGATGTCGCGTGTTTTGCACATTTCTCGTCGTACGTTAGCCAAGTTGATTGCCAGTGAAAAGGAACTCCGGCAGAATTTGTCCCATGGCACTGCAAGCTTTCAGAAAAGGAAGTGATGTGAAAAGGATAAAGAAGAAACAGCATTGAAAGGCTGGATG